TTCATGTACCTGAGACCTGCAACCTTAAGAAACCCTGCAGTGACTTCATGCAGTAACAAAGCTCCTCATGAAAGACACGGATGAACATCTACTACACCCAGGTACAGAGCGGGTATATGTAGAACTGCAACGGCAGTATTGGATCTTGCGATGATGGCAGGCCGTCAGACACCACAACTCAACTGCTTATCCTACCAGCGATGGAGAGCTCAGCCAAAGGTCCCACTGATGGCAGACTTGCCACCACAGCACCTCAGACTTATCTGTCCACCCTTCTATTAAACAGGTGTTGATTGTTTTGGACCTTACCTGGTAAAGATAGGCAGGAGAACAGAGAAGCACTGGGGTGTCCTCTTCAAGTGCCTCACGACTCGTGCTGTTCACATCGAGCTCCTCAACTCCATGGACGTGGACGTTTTCCTCCTCGCTGTTTGATGATTCTTTGCAAGACAAGAACAACCAAAGGAGGTACTATCAGATTGTGGTACCAACTTCCACGGTGCTGAGCACTGCCTTGAGATGTTGGCTGGGTCGGTCCTGCCACCACCTGAGGTCAGCACAAAGCTGCGAGGTGACGAGCACTGCTGCCTGAAGCTGTATCTGTGGACAGAGCCCCAGGCTGTGGAGATGCTGAGGACTGAACACATATGTTGAAGAGCCAGTGGCACCACTTGTACCAAGGCTTCTGTAAGACCCAAGACAGGGGAGACAAAGCCACCACGTGGCCCTGGCACCAAGCCAAAAATTAGAGAGGCAGGTTTCAATAAGGACCAGAGCTAGGTCACCAACCCAGCTCTGGCATCCAGCCACATGCCTAGAAACTGGGTCACTGTAGCACGACCAGAAAGTGCACTCTTTAGCTATAGCAATAGTGCTACTAACTGTCTTTAATTTGTTTCCCTGAGCCAACAGGTGTAAGTGTGGCAATAGTATGGATTATTTTCTTTGACACCGGACAGTGGGACACTTCTACTGGAGAGAGATGTTTTTGTTGTAATGAGGAAATGCAAAGCCTCCGCAGGTGCGAACCGGAAAACCAGCCACATCACGTGGTAGCTAACTGTGGAGGTAAGTCGCTGCCTGTGAGGGAGCTGGGAAGCATCCCCCTCACTAAGGTGACAAACATTGCACACATACAGTAAAGTTGGATGTGTTAAACTAATACAGGAAGTTTTCTTTTGGTTGTTGTTATGCTTTTATTTTGAACCCTTCTAACTCCTCTTTGTCTCTGAGGTCAACTTCCGGGAGGGCATGGTTTCATGGAGTGCACACATGAGCCACAGGACTCCAGCTGGCTCCAATAATTACCTGGTTAGGCTGAACCAAATGTGTACGAGCAGAGAGGGGAGGGGGTAGAGGGTTTGTGTTGAGTTTGGCTTTTGCTTGGTCAGTTTATTATGTGTTTTGTTTAACCAGTATTAGTAAGCATTTATTTGTATTGTGTGTATGTAAGTATTAGTGGGGTTAATTTGTATATGTATTGTATATAGTTATTGTAATTGGGTTTTGGGGAACCTTTCTATGTAATGGTACAGGCCAGGGGTAGATATGCCAGGTGAGGAAGGCAGTTTGTGTGTCAGAGAGAGGGGGTCAGGTTGGGGGTCACCTCTGCTGCCAGAACTGCTGTAGATGTAAGCCCTTTTTCCCTTTTTGTAAAACCTTATGCTGTAACTGAAGATCATGGACTTTTTGTACCTTGCTTATTTTTTATAAGTAAAGAAAAAACAGATCTCTGAACAATCCCTGCTGATCATGCTGCTTATTTCCCGTTGTTACATCTCAATCCTGCCTGGTTTCATCCTGTTTGTAAGGGATTACCACCTACAAAACCTTACATTTGGTGTCAGAAGTGGGATGAGTCGCAGCCATATTGAAGGGGAGCAGCTTTGAGAGCAACAGCATGGGACCTAAAGCACAAAACAGAGCCCGAAAGACAGAAGTTGTAGAAGACGACCCAGAAGAGGGTGCTGCAGGGGGACAGCCTGTGACCGTACCTCCTTTGCCTGTGGAGATGGACACAATCACAAGCATGTTGCAGCGATGTCTTGAGGTTCAACGTGACCTGAGTGAAAGGTGGGACAAAGAATCCGGGAAACAGGACATGAGGTGGCGCCAAATGCAAGTTCAAATGAATAACCTCAGAGATGATCTGGAGCAGCAGCAGCAAGGAGGTGGAAGTCAGCCCCAGCGGAATTCATCACTACAGCAGGAGGAGGGACATGCTTCCCAGCCCAGTGCCCAGACCAAGTTTGCTGGTAGGGGCTGGGGGCAGGCGGCAGTCTCCAGACTGGAGGAAGGTGATGACATTGAGCAGTATCTGACCACATTTGAGTGTCTGGCAGTGGCATATCAGTGGCCAGAGGTCGAGTGGCCGGTGAGGCTGATTCCACACCTGACAGGGAAGGCACGAGCAGCATATGTGGCTATGGCGGCAGAGGAATCATCTGACTACAAGAAGGTAAAAGAAGCCATCCTTGCAAAGTATGAAATCAACGAGGGATCTATCAGCAGAGGTTCAGGGAACCTGATATCCACCCTAATGAGAGCCCTAAAGAATTCTACAATCGACTTAAAGACTGACAAGTGGATTCAGCCAGTGAAGAGGACCAAGGAGCAGATTGGGGAGATCCTCATTCTGGAGCAGTTCTACCGCTCCCTCTCCCCAGCGCTCAGAGTGTGGGTGAAGGAAAGGGATCCAGAGTCAGCACGGAATGCAGCTGAGCTGGTGGAAACCTTCCTGGCAGCCCGACAAGGGTCCAAGAACTACCAGTTTGAGGCTCCACAAAAGTCTACCACGGCACGGGCTAAGCCACTGGGGTCAGGGGGTGGAGGTGGTCCCAGGGAGTCAGAGTCAGTCAGGCCTCTAGAAAAGTCTGTAGCTCCTGTTAAGTCAAAGTCAACCACTAAACCTGTTTGCTTTTACTGTGGTCAGGAGGGACACATTAAGCCAGGATGTCCAGCTAGGAAAGCTAAAGCAGCTTATTTGTGTACAGTTCCTTGCCCCTGTCAAAGTGAGAGTTGTGTGGTAGGAAAACAGCAGGTCACTACAGTTAAAATCAGTGGTAACCCAGTCCAGGCTCTCCTTGATACTGGGAGTGAGCAGACATTAATACACCCATCACTAGTCCAGAGGGAGGGTTCCTTGGGAAAGCCAGTCCTAGATATTTCTTGTGTGCATGGTGACCAGAAAGCTTATCCTATGACTGTGGTGTACCTGGAGGTAGCTGGGCAAACTTTTCTTCTTGTCGGTTGGGGTGGTAGACAGGTTAGCCCACCAAGTAATCCTAGGATAGGATCTGCCCATTCTTCAGGAGTTGGTTCAGTCAGTGAATATTGTCACCAGGTCACAGGGACAGATACAGAGATTGGAGGAGAGGGAAGCTAGTGGGGACCAGGCAGGATCAGCAGAGGATGCTAAGGGTCCAGATGAGCCAATTCCTCAGTTTCCAGCTCAGGTAGATGCAGAGTTCCAGGCGACAGCTCAGGAAGATCTAAATGTTCTTTCTGAACTGCCTTTCTCTGAGGAGTTTCTCCCTGATAATTCTGGTAAAATGAGGAAAAGTAAGAGACAGAAAAGGCAAGAGAAAATGGCAGGCACAGTTAGAACAAGGTCAGAGCTAACAGAGCCAGAGGTTTGTGATGCTGGCAAAAGGTGTGACTTTGTACAGCTTCAGAAAGAGGATGAATCAGTGCAGGACTTCTTCAGAAAGGCAGCGGTAGTGCAGCAGGGTCAGGTAGCAGGGGAAGGCTATTTCCTCAGAGACCAGGTACTGCACTACAAGGCAGCTCTAGATGATAGGGAAAGACTGGTGGTTCCACAGAGGCTAAGAGAGCGGGTACTAAAGCTGGGCCATAGTATACCCTGGGCAGGTCATCTGGGGGCTAAGAAGACCTTGGACAGAATTGCAGACAGGTTTCATTGGCCAGGGTTGAACGGGGAGGTGCAGGATTATTGTCAGTCTTGTGCAATCTGTCAGCTAGCAGGGGATAAGAAAGTGCCAAAATTTCCATTGCAACCACTTCCTATCATGGGGGTTCCATTCAGCTGAATAGCTATGGACATTGTAGGGCCGTTAGAGAGGACACAGTCAGGACACCGTTACATACTTGTAATTTGTGATTACAGCACCAGGTATCCTGAGGCATTTCCCCTGAGAGACATCACTGCTAGGCAAATAGCATATGCATTACAGCAGCTCTTTTCCAGGCTCTTAGGCATTAGGAGTATTCGGACCACTCCTTACCACCCCCAGACCGACGGCTTGGTGGAGAGGTACAACAGAACTCTGAAAAGCATGTTGAAGAAGTTTATCTCCACTAATGCCAAAGACTGGGACAAGTGGCTCCCGTATCTCCTCTTTGCTTACAGGGAGGTGCCACAGGCTTCCACTGGCTTCTCACCTTTTGAGCTCCTGTACGGCAGGCAGGTGAGAGGTCCCCTAAATGTGCTACAGGAGACCTGGGTGGAATCCAAGGGGAAGGAGACCAGTGTGCTGGCTTTTGTCTTGCAGATGAGGGAGAAAATGGAGCAGACCACCAAGCTGGTGAGGAAAAGGATGGAGAAGGCTCAGCTGGGACAGCAAACCTGGTATGATAAAGCAGCAAGAGAGAGATCCTTCAACCCAGGTCAGCAGGTGCTGCTTCTTCTGCCAACAGTGGAGAACAAGTTGCTGGCAAGATGGCAGGGCCCTTATACTGTCCTGAGGAAGATGAGTCAGACAACATATGAGATTGAGAAGCCAGAAAAGAGAAATCCAAAACAAACATTCCACATCAACCTGTTGAAGGAGTGGAAAACCAGGGAATTCCCACCCAGACAACAGATGTTTGTGCGGGAAGTGGAGGAGGAGGATGACGTGGTGGGTGAGTTCACTCCTGCTAGTCCCAACTCTGTATCCCTTGACCTGTCTCATCTCTCCCTCACCCAGCAGCAAGAATTGCAGGCCGTTGTTCCTCCAGACTTGTTCCAGGAGAAGCCAGGGGCAACAAACTTAGTGAAGCATGACATTCGCCTGAGACAGCATCCTGCAGAAGTTGGTGCCGGTGTTGGAGGAGGAAACTGCAGTCATGCTGGAGGTGGGTGTCCAGGGCTCGACAGTGCGAGTACCTCATCGCAAATGCTAGTAAAAAATAGTTCAGTGCGAACTGTGAAATGCAATTAGTAGCACGTGTGCGACTACCGAATTTTACCGTTCAATAAATGTTTAATGATGTGTTGCTGACGTTTGGAGGTTGTGGCCGGTTGTGCACTTGAATGCAGCCTCAGCTGAAAAAAAAAAATACGTGATTTACACGTAGTGAGCGTGCTTGCCGACGTGCTGCACAAGGCGGTTAAAGGCAGAGGGAGTATCTATGGTAACGAGGCGAAGCCAAACAAACGAAAACAAAACGTATGAATTATGAAGCGCATTAGCGATTATTTTAAAAGGGCAACAGAGCCAGAAGCTGTGGACCCAGGCACCGAGGCCGAAATGGTGGACGAGGACGAGGAAGAATTAGAGTTAGATGAAGAAGCTAACGTGACTGAAGAAACCGGAGGAGCAGGTGATAACGCTACCATTCCCAGCCGTAAAAAGTACAGGTTTAATGCTGACTGGCAGAAAACATTCCCGTGGCTCCTTTACGAAAACCAATTAATGTATTGTAAGTACTGCAAAGCAAGCAGCTGGAAAGTCCGTTTTTGTCACAGGCAACGCGAACTTCAAACAAGATGACTTAGTGAAACACGGTAAATCGCATATTGGAGAATGGCAAGCCAACTAACATTCTGGTTGGCCAACAGACACTGGAACATTCACATGCCCTTGGTAAGAAAGATGTTTCTCTTTTTAGCACAAATTATTTTATCAATTTAGTGTAACATTGTAAAGCTGTAAATATGATAGCATTTTTTATTGAGAGAATTCAGTGTCTTTTTTAATTATGGTTTTTCCAGGAGTCTTGAATGCTACCAAGGCTGCCTTTGATGCAGTAGACTGCCCAGGGAATGAATGGATGAAGAAATGTGTCGCTTTCGGTGCTGATGGGGCCAGCGTCAACATGGGCATCCGTAATGGTGTGATTGCCCACCTGCAAAACGAGGCAGGGAGCCACGTCATTCCCATCCACTGTATGCCACACAGGTTTGTAATCACAAGTTAACTAATTACATTTAAATGTAGCATTCCTGCTCACAGTTAACTGAATAGAAATAATAACTGAATGGAATAAAAGGCAATACAGAACTGAATGGAGTTATGGAACACAAGCTGAGCTGGATAGCTGAAGTCTTTAGATTTTATTATTAGCATTAGTTAGAATGCTTCTCTCACCAAATTAGTAAAAAAAACCATCTGCTCAGTGTGTGTCTGTCTCTCAACACACACAGTATGTGTGAGTGAGTAGAGAGAGAGATTATGTATTATGTAGGATTATTAACTGTGCAATCAATGTTGTCTGCTTCTTGCACAGACTGGAATTGGCCATCCTCAACCTACAGAAGAAGGAAGCTAAGGTGGCAGTAGTGTATGATCTCCTTCATCTTATTTGGAAGACCTACCACATGAGTGGCAAGTTAAAACGAGAGCTCTATGCTCTCGGAGAACTACTTGGAGTGAACGTGTGCAGTCCCAGTGGTGTCAAGGGAACCCGTTGGATCCCACACATACACTGAGCGTTGAATCCTGCGACATGGACCGGGAAAGGACCTTGCCAGTGACCATGATACTCTGTGGTTCTTCAACATATGGAGCAAGTGGCAGCCTCACAGTCCAGTTCTGCTGAAGTTCAAGGGCGGGCAAAAAAGGTTCGTTTTCTGGTGATGATTGTTAGACACAACTGAACTGGTACATAAATTAACTTAAAGTTAAGTTTAAGTGGTTTTGAAGAAGAGGTGCAAATGTCAAACTTAACTTTCATAATCAATAACAGATGGCCAATGAGTATATTTTGAACTAAATTTGTATTGTGTTTACACAATACACAACAGATAAAGAAAGAAATGTGTATTTTCCCACTTTCTTTGTGACCTGTTTGAGGAGCTAGCCACCCTCAGCCTCACACTACAGAGGAATGATTTGATCCTCCCCCAAGCCACCACAGTTTTGAAAACGACTGTAACCAGTCTGGAGGCACTCAAGACAAAGCCAAAGCCAGGTGGCTTGCTTGAGAAGATCCAGACTGCCTTTGCTCAGCAGCAGGGAGATGAGATGAGATTCCAGGTGTGTTTAGCATAAGTCAGTGTGTTGTGTGTAAGGATTATGGCAGGGACCTTCAGAATCAGTATACTGGATATACAGAAGAAGGGTTTGAGCATTAGGGAAATGCACATAACAATGACATCACAGCCATGATTCAAGTGTGTGCCTGTGTCTGTCTGTACTTGTCTTTTGAAGGGAATGACACTGAAGGGGGATGTCATCATCCTCACACATCCACAGCTCAAGCATCACGTGGAAGCTGCCGTAAACATCAGTGTGGATGCTATCAAAGCCAGGTTCGGTGGTTTGGTGAAGGATGATGCCATCCATACAACACTGGACTGCTTCAGAGTCCTAAACCCTGACACATGGCCAGAAGAGCCAGCCAACCTTCTTACATTCGGGGATGACAGCGTGGAAGAGCTGCTGGGGCATTTTGAGAAGCCTCTAACAGGGTAAGAATGTATTTGATAAGACACTGTATTGTTATTTGAAATACTTGTTGCATATGTGCAAACTCAATTGCTCTGTTCTATCCTTCAGTGCACGGTGCAATACAGCTGCAGTCCAAGATGAATGGCGACAGCTCAAAGTCCTGGTAAGCCAGAACTTCCGGGACAAAACCAACACTGGATTGTGGCAGATGCTGCTAATGAAGGACCCCTACAAGCAAGAATTCAAAGTAAGGCCAGATAGTCCAGACATATTCATTCTTAGACATTATGTTTCTAATTTAAAAATGGGCATTTCATTGCACTCTGACATAATAGAGGACTTTTAGAAGATGATTAAAAAAACAGAGCTTTCAACATTACAAAATCACAATTTAAGCATTGTGTAGTTGCATATTGGTTTTGATGAATTTAAGGTGAGTTGAAATGAATTTAAAATGTTATCTTCTCCCTTAGAACATACTGGAGTTGGTAAAGATCATGCTGGTGCTGCCGATCTCAGCTGCCCAGTGTGAGAGAGGTTTTTCAGCCCAAAACTGGATCAAGAATTCCACAAGAAGCAGCCTTGCAGTCTCGACAACTGAAGACTTGATGAGGATCAGCTTGGAGGGGCCTTCGGTCGAGGAATTCGATCCAACTCCTGCAGTGGACTGCTGGCTGACCTCCAAACGGACCAGACGACCAGATTACAAAAGCTGCTGGGACGATATCCTTTGTGTTTAAAGAGACTGAGCAGACTTTGATTTTGCATTTAGAACTACTTGGGTTGTAACTAATTGGTTAATTTCATTTGAAATTCAAGGACATTAACCCCTTCCCCTCAGCTTTAAAATTCAAGCACATTCTGTGAACCCTGCCTGTTGTATGAATGTTCTGTTATAACACAGGCCAAATAAGCTTAACTCTGTTGTCAGTACTTGTTACAGTATTATTCACTGCACTTTTTGGAGAATTTTACTTGCTGTTTTGATACTGTCTCAGTTGCACTGTGCACATTTGCACCAATAAATAACTGACAATACATGAGTTGTTACAGTATTATTCTCTCTGCACTCTTTAGAGAATATAACTAAAACTTAAAAAGCTATGAATTGAATTGTTTTGCTTATAAATGCCCCCTCGTTGACCTCATATCACTTTATTAAAGAAAAACACATTATTTGGTAACTTTTAATCGTGCCCCTAAAATTATTTGTGTGCTACTAGATTTTTCAACTTAGGAGCACACGTGCTACTTGGGAAAATGCTAAGCGTCAAGCCCTGCTGGTGATACAGATTTGGGCAGGACCCATCTGACCTTACATCAAATTGATAAAGGTGATGCTAAACCTGTTAGCACTGGGCGCACTTTCCAGGAGCATTTGCTCTGGTTGGAGGAGGTTCTGTCTAAGTTGCGGCACGCAAACATTAAGGTGAAGCCCTCTAAGTGAAACCTGTTTGCGACCCAAGTTCAGTATCTAGGCCATGTAATCTCAGCAGAAGAGGTGGGGGTGGACCCTGCTAAAGTACAGTGTATTTGTGAGTGGCCAGCTCTCAAGAACCAGACAGAGGTAAAAAGCTTTGTGGGGGTGGCATCCTACTATAGACGTTTTGTTGGGGGGTTGCGGAAGTTGCACCAGCTGACAGAGAGAGGGAGACATTTTAAATGGACAGAGTCTTGCCAGCAGACATTTGAACAGCTTAAGACAAGGTTAATGACAGCTCCAGTCCTAGCATATCCTGACCCCCACAAGCCCTTCATTTTGGACACCGATGCTAGTGATGAAGAGATTAGGGCAGTGCTGTCACAAGAGGAAAATGGGTCTGAGCATGTTATAGCATATGCTAGCCGGGCTTTGACCAAACAGGAAAGGAAGTATGCCACTACTAAAAAGGAGCTGTTGAGCATGGTCACATTCACAAAATATTTTAAGCATTACCTGTTGGGGAGGGAGTTTGTTTTGTGGACAGACCATAACTCCTTGCACTGGCTTCATAATTTTCAGGGTCTTGAGGGGCAACTGGCTCATTGGGTGGAGCAACTGGCTAATTTCCAATACAAAATCATCCCACCGACCCCGTTAATCTGCATGCTAATGCAGGGTGTTGGTGGTGGTAGAGATAAGTGGGAGGGACAGCGGCTTTCCGTGCCTCCAAAAAATATGCCCTATTCATTCAGTGTTTACCCAACACGCTCAATACATGGACATGCAATGACAAATTGTCATTAACTTATTACATTATAAAAAACAAAGAAAATATGGACTTACCCATGTTTAAAATGACCTGCTGAAGTGAAAAAACGAGTACTGATGGGAACAGACGAGTGGAGTCGATGTTTAACCGCCGCAGAGAGCACAGGAGAAATGCGCTGCCTGTGTGGACAGTCAAGCGCCTGCGAGTACACTCACAGGACTTATGCGGCACTAACGTGCTCAGTGTGTCCTTAGCCTTAATTATAACAGCCAACTTATTGAAAAATGTCAGGTTTAAATTGGGCTCGGGCCCATAATTACAGTTAATTGGACGGGCCGGGCCGGTCTCGGACATAACGTGCACGGACTCAGGCCGGGTTGGGCTGATTTTTTTGGGCCCGATCTAAGCTCTATCCTGCAATGCAAAAGTATGCCGCTGTTTGGTCTCAGCTTCAGTTAGGGGGGGAAGGCTGGTTAGGGTTCCACCAGCTAACTCAGATGTTGTATTCCAGGTGCAAGTAATGCTCCCGATGGCCTTGGTTTCCAAGGTCTTGGCCTGGTTGCACAACACGAAGAGGGCTTCTCCAGCATTATTCAGAGGGGGAGTTGGTATGGATGTGTAATAAAGTCAGGAAGTGTGGGGTGTGCACTAAGTTAAAGAGGCAGTTCAGGGGAACTGGGGGAAGGGGAGAGAAGAGGGATGGAACTGCCGGCTTCTGGGTCATCAGAAAAACGGTGCCACTCTGCAGCTGCACTTACGGCCAAGACTGTGGAGGCGACCAGAAGTGCCCCATCTGGAGGCTGCATACAACCCCAGCTCCTGCCAATCCCAGGCTCTGGGAATGTCCCCGCCCCTCCTGAGGTTGTGGTTGCCCTGACAGACAACTAATTAAAGATGAGTTTCACCTGCTCCTAATTGTGGCTGCTGCCTGTGACTCTGTGGGCTGATTTTTCTCAGCTGCAGGTGATTGTGAGGGAGGCGAACTGATAAGAGAGAGCCGAGGCAGGGGCGGAGCTTCATGTACACTGGGGCAGCATTCCTGGCGAAGCGACTGTTTGCACTCGCAGAAGGTGGGTGGGGGCCGTTCTTAGCTGCTTAGGGCTGCCGGCAGCGAAGACAGGTAGAGTAGGCAATAGATGTTCGTGTGGTGGTGTGATGTGGTGGTGAATGGTGTGATTTACTGCATGGGGTTTAGAGTGCTGACCTGCTGTTTTCTCATGTGTGGGTTCGCTTGTTGAGAGCAGTGGTGTGTCTCCTTATATAAAGTGATTTGGTGTGCTGTGGTGCTGAGCGCAGCCGGTTAGCTGGTGGGGTGGATTTGTTGGAGGGGAGGGATGAGTTAAGGTTTAGCCAGCTCTGGACCCTTTGCATGAAGAAACTGCTGTGGCATAATGAATTGATTAGTAAAATAAAGTGCTCATACTTCTTCATACATCGCGGTACTGTGTGTGTTTTCTCAGATCTCTGACACTTAAAGGTGGTGACAGCTCAACTTTTAACCCTGCCCAGTTGGTTTAATATTTATTTAAATCAAGGTTTATTACAATATTTTGGATTTCTGAGAAAATATAGGTCAACACAAAGAGCACATGCCATATGTAAGCAATGAAGTTATGAGATAAAACACAACGTACTTGCCTGGACAAGCATCTCACTCCACAAGCTTCTCGCTTTAGCAATATTAGCTGCTCTGTTTCGACAATGTCAGGCTGAAAAACCATGCATGCAGGCAGAAATTCAACCACGCTGTTCTGTCAAAAGATAGTGACTTAAACCACCGGTGAGTTAGAAAAATATTAATGTTACATGTTATTTGTTAAGCTTCTGTTTTGTCCATGAACCATGAATGACAGTTATTACTAAGCTGAATGGGATGCTGTTGTTGAATGATCTTATTGTTGTGTTTTATGACTGTTTGGAGAAGTTTTTGTTTAGGTTTTTAAACCAGATAGACATGAAGTTTTATGAAAAAGATTATGGTTTGGGTTAAAATGAAAAGATTTCCTCCAGAAAGGTCTCTCTGACAGAAAGCCCTGAAGGTTAACTTATCCCATTTGCTTTTTTATTTGTGTTTGTAGAAACAGTTTAAAGTAAACTTTACTGTAGTTATTAAGTTGTTAAGAATGGGGTTGTAGCGTCCTCTGTAACAGACTATGTTAAATGGGCATTTAATATCGCCTAATATCGAGCGCAGACCCCTGAATCGTATCGAATCGAAATCGTATCATGGCAGACTTTGTAATATTGGAAAATATTGTATTGTTGTCCCAAGAATCAATATAATATCGTATCCAGAACCAGGTTTATTTTTTTCATAAAAAAGAGAGATCAGTTTAAGTCAAGTCTCCTCTAAAACAGCTCATTAAGGACTTTGAAACACTAACCGGACACATCAAGCACACCTCCCATGAAGAGCTAGAAATTTTGGTCTAGACATTTATGATTCAAAGATGATCCATCCCACAAAGTTTGTTGAACCCCTGAAACTGGATCAAGGGGGCTTTACCACACCAAGTGCTGCCTGCCAGTAAGATGGTGGTTCCTGCTTCCACATTTCACTTCAAAATTGTGGAGCCAGATGTGGGAGATTTCCACAAGCACACATAAAAATGCTTCAACACCACACAGGGCAACAGCAGGGGGGAGCAAAGATCCATCGAGGTGCAGAAAAGGGAGGAGAGAAAACCTCTTTAAGGGCCATCTGATCAGGGAATGGCTGTTCAACAGACAGGATAATACAACCCCTTTAACAAGCAGGCAAGCACCTAGGGTTAAAAGACTGTGTTACATGAGCCAGTGGTAAACTCCAGTGGTGGAGTTCTGGAACCTCTGGCCCAAATGTTAATCCAGTGATGAGTGACCACAGTGTTTAAAAAATGTAATTGTGTTATAATATTATTTTCATTGTTCATATTATAGGCAGCACACAGAGAACCAATGGAGCTGTACCTTATTTGCTGTAAAGCTGGTGTTATATGAGGTACATTTGGTATTTTTAAAAGTAGTAGTTACCTAATGAATCATTGCACAGAACTAATGTCCCTGTAGTACTGTATATTGACTGCACATGGAAGTTGGGATACAAGGAATGACAAAGTCAAATCAATTAATAATTTCATTAAAAATAACAAACAACCAGGGCCAGCCCTAGACCTTTGGGGGCCCTAAGCAGGATTTGGTTTAGGTGTCCCCCTTCACATGAGACTAAACCAGCCTGTGTTTTGTCATATTAGTAGCACATATACTGTACAAATAAGCATGTCCATATAATTTATGAAGTCTTGGGCTGCAGTGCTGGCAGACTGTCAAAGAAGAGCTTGTGAAGATATTTATCTACAGACTAAATAAAATAATGGACATATCTACTGTGATGTCACCCAATGGTCTGTGGACTCCTGTTTTTAAGACCGGACTTTGGCACTTAAGCAGTTGCCATCTTGTTTTTTTGGAGCCAGAAGTGAACATATTTGGGCTAAAGCAGGAGTTGTGGTGGAGCTGACTGAGAGGCTGAGGACACTATCAGCAGACAGCCTGGCACTCAAAGCATCCCACCCTTAATTATGTATTACTTTAAGCCTTAATAAAATGTAAACAAGTGAGTTATATGAACATCCACCCCTGTACAGTTGTCATGAATGTTGAAATTAGCTACAGAACAAAACCGTTTTTTATACGTGGTAAACAAGTTTATTTCTGCTGTGAAGTTGGGCATTTTAACATGGGGATCTATGGGGATTGACAGACTTCTGGAGCCAGCCTTATGTGGTCATCAGAGGAACTGCAGTTTTTGGCACTTCAAT